AATAAAAAATAAATGAAAAAATCAATTTATAATAATCACTTCTGGTAGGCCTTCCACTCCTTATCACTATCGAAAGTACTCTATTCGTGACAATCCTCCATTTTGCTGTCACATACTGTCTTCATTATTAAAGTTTTGCTCATAATGGCTTGCAAGCCATTTTACTATCCATTCCCATATCTTGTCTTTGTAAAAAACTATGTCTCAGGTAATAGTAATCTTCTTGAAAATAAGATTTCACAGTTTGTAATATTAGAATAATCACAAATAACAACAAAAACACAATTCTCATAATTATCATGCAAACTCCAATTCTGGTTAAGCACAAAGGCATATGTTATACACTAAAAAATTTTGAAATGGTATATAGCTGATCGATCATTTGCCACTATATATAAGCTTCTTTATGCACCATGTTTAGGACTTAAAATATAGAATTTTTGTTCAATAAATGGATGCTTCAATTGACACATTTTTGCTAAATTTTTTGGGCATTCCACTTCTTGTGATTGTGATGAATATGTGATTCCTTCTTTTACATATTCCATTATGTTGTGCAGTATTGCTGTTGTCATCTGCCTTTTGATACAATTGGACTCCCAAAAATTTACAAATTCTCATGATTTGTATTATTCACCATGGTTACCAATAGTAAAATTAAAATGTGGAAACTGAAATTTACTATGAACTTCCAAGAAATTTATCAATTTCTAGATTTAAATAAATGATGCTATTTTATTAAAATGTATTATCTATTTTACTTGCACCAATCATGCTCTCGTATTGGCACACAATTTTTTTTTTTGGTCGGTGTTAAGTTCTTAATGTACCTAGGGTAGCTTTCATGATACCTTGAAAATAATTTATTAATATTTCCTTAGATGATTTTATTGGTGAACCCCTTGCATTGCATGGGGTTGACTCGAAAGCATTGAACTTTAGATCTGGTTTGTAAGAGTGGATCCAAGTCTTGGGCTTTATTGGCGTGCATGTCAAATTTGTTGTTTTCTTTCTTAGAATTTAGTTTATATTTAAAATCTTTGTAAAATATTGTGATTGTGGCTTTTTCAATATTCTACTATAAAAAAATTATGTTATTGTTTAATAATTATTTTAAAAAGAGTCTTACACATTAATATA